AAAAAAAATATAGCCCATGTGAAAAAAATTGTATAAAGTCAGTTTAGACTATGTGTAGAAGGTATACATAAAACATAAATTTTTGTGTTTAGAGATGAGTCCCATCTCTAAGAAATTTCATTCTGTATATTCATATACCCAAAATTTGAAAAAATGTGGACTCTGGAGCACTTCTAATCCCAGGTGTTTCAGATAAGGGATGCTCAACCTGTATTTTGGCCCCAATGACAAGTACCATCTTAGTATCTCGGTATCTGCCAAACCACCTAATTTATAAGGTTTGCATGATATTTGTCAAACTAAAATTGATGTTAAAATCTCACCTATGAGTTGTTTCAGAAATTACAGCATCAGATTGTTGCTGAAGAATTCTTGTGTATGATAAATCCTTTCTGTGCTCTGTAGATACTTTTTCCTTTCTCAGAGAGGCTAGCAGTCACATTCTAGCCATATAGAAATATGCGCCTAGCACATGGGAGGTTGAGGAAGGAGGATCACAACTTTGAGGACAGCCCAAGTTATATAGCAAGATCTTATCTCAACAAAATCATGGGTTTACTTCTTATTTGGAATATCTTTATTAATAATTACACAATGCAAATTGACATTCTCTGCATGCATTTAAAAAGCCAGTAGAGTGGACAGAATTAACGTTCACAGTTTATTCTTCATTTATTTATCCTTTGTCTTTAGATGATACAGGTTGCTATTTTTCTGCCTCTGCCATTCTGTAACAGATTTTTCACTTCAGAATGAGTAGGGAACGCAGCTCAGAGAGTTCTCATTTTTTCCAAAGGGAGACAGAGGGCATCCTGAAGTCCAGGATGCAGTGATGTTTCTGCTGGGAATATGGGGAGGTTGTATTTTGAATCTACCCACCTCTGGATAGGAAGAGAAATGAAAACAAAAGGCTCATGTGTTATATCTTTGAAATTAGGGGATGTAGGAAACTCAAAAATCAAATTATCGTCATGTACAACATAATCTTTCAGTAATGATGGATCAAGTATAGGATAATGGCCCCATAAGGTTATAATGGGGCTGAAAAGGTCCTGTTCTAGCACCTGGTGACATTGTAGGGGCCACAGTGTTGCAGTCTATGCCTTAATCATACCTTTGTAAGCAAGGCTTACAACTAGCGTATAAACCTGTGCTGCCAGTTGTATGAAAGACTAGCATGTGTTTTTAGGTACACATGCTACTTGATAATTCATGGTTGTTATTGGTTTAGTATTTGTTTAATTGGTATTTTAGAATGTACTCCTAGTTATACAAACCTGTTTTTTGTGAGACAGTATGTGGTGCTATACCAGCAGCAGTCCCATACACCTATTATTGTGTCTCTTAACTGGATTATTTTCTCTTGTGCTTGATTGTATGTTGTGTTGTTTTGTCATCATATCTATTGAGGCACCAAGTTGTATGACACACAGACACACAGACACACACACACACACACACACACAATACAGCTTTGGTGTATAGTAGGCTGTATACCATCTAGGTTTGTGTAAGTCATGAACTACAACATGCGATTCTCTGTCAGTTTGTGTAAGTTTGTGTAAGTTCATTCTATGATCACACACCAGCTAACCCTTCTCTGGATGTTATCCCTATCACTCAGCAACCAGGACTAAGTGAAACCAGCAAAATTAGTGAGATAAGTGAAACACTGCCTCAATGAATCACATCAGGGAGGAGGAGAAGACATCTTGACACAAGGAGGGGAGTAAATTACTACAAAACACAATCACTTTTTTTAAAACTCTGAGACTACCTGGGTGGGATGGCACATGCCTACAATCCCACCAATTTTGAAGGAGGAAGCAGGAAGTTCAGGAGGATCTCAAGTTTGACCCTGTCTCAAAATAAAAAAAGGTTGAGGAGGTACTCAGAGGTAGAGCATCCTTGGGGTCAGTCCTCAGTGTCACACACACACACACACACACACACACACACACACACTTCTAAGAGACTGATTTGCACAAATTTTTGTAAGGAACTTTAAAAAAATTTTTTTTCTTTTTATTGAGTTTATTGGTACAATGTAGGTATACAGTACAGTTACAATCATTATTAGGATCCTGTACCTTTACATGATAGGTCTTGATTCTCATTTTATCCCCTTGTCCCTGCCCTCCCTTCACCCCCTCCTCCCCTCCCCATTTACAAATACTTTATTTCCATTTTTTCGATTTCTCGTATTTTTTTCCTCTACCATATTTCCTTTTCCCCACCCTTCCCACTTTCCTTACACCTTTAGCCCTTTACTTCCTATTTCACATTATTAATTATCTCATTAGGATCCTGTGTACTATTATAGTTTTTCACACTGGAGAAACTATTTGGTATTTCAGTTAAAGAAATCTCTGTATGAACATTAAAAATAGGCAATCCTAAAATAAAACTAAAAAGGAAAGTAAAAGAGAAAAGGCAATGATGTAACATTAAAATAATCCTTAATTTTGAAGATGAAAATGGTCCCTGAACATATTTAAATTGCTTCTTGCTCTTACAGTCTTATCTTATTCTTTTTTTTTCATTATTTAGAGAATATTTTATTAATTTTGGTAATCAAACCCACATTGATATGACCTTACATATTTAATGCAGTGTATTACCACTGTACTAATGGAAAAAAATAAAAAATAAAAAATAAAAATTAAAAAAAATTTAAAAAATTAACATTTCTAGACCAATATGGCTGTCAATTTCTGTACAATGCCAACTCAACCCAGTATATTGGGATAACTTTTTCCAAAGTTGACAGCACAGTTAAAATTTCCCAAAATTCAAATTATATATATGTATATATATTTATATTTATATAAAAAGACCAATAATAGCAGTATGTTATGCATCAATAGCAGCAACAGCTTTTCCAGGTTCTGCAGTCATCTGAACAAAATTATAGACATTCAGCACATTCCATTAAAAAACAAAAACAAAAACAAAAAAGCAAAGAAAAGAATAATATCCAGAAAATATCAAAGTTCTGTTGTTGTTGTGGTACCTGGCACCATTTTTTTTTTATTAGCATCTTAATCATCATCTGGAAAGAGAACATTCCAGAGTAATATCATTCAATATAGCTCTGATAAAGCATGGTCACTACTATGTATCATAAAGCAGGTACAAGATATTTTACATTCACAGAGGTATGATACAGTACCGTCCTACATCAATAATACTAGAATCAGTTTTGGTTTGAAACTTGTTTTGTCTGCAAATAAGATTGCTACCCCTGCTCTGGGCTCCTGTCACATGGAGAATTGTTTTCCATCCTTTCACTTTCAGTCTATGGGCTTCTTTTTGCACTAGGTGTGTTTCTTGTATACAACATATTGTTGGATTTTGCTTTTTATTCCATTCTGCTAGTCTATTTCTCTTGATTGGTGAGTTGAGGCCATTGATATTGATGGTTATAACTGATATGTACTGATTTATTATTGTCATGTTATTGGCCTTTCGTTGACTCTTTTTACTTTTTCACCTCCTTTTAGTTTCTTGCCTTGCCTATTTGATTTGCTCTGTTGGACCTCATGGTGTTGTTGCTTTCATTGTCTTGTTCTAGGATCTTGTTTAGAATTGCTTGTAGTGCTGGTTTGGTATTCATGTGGTTTCTCAGGTGTTCTTTGTTGTGGAAGTGCTTATTTCCCCATCCATTTTGAAAGAGAGTTTTGCAGGATACATCAGTCTAGGTTGGAGGTTGTTCTCTTTTAGTGCTTGAAATATCTCAGTCCAGGCTCTCCTTGCCCTAAGGGTTTGTGTTGAAAAATCTGCTGTGATTCTGATGGGCTTTCCTTTGCATGTGATTTGTTTCTTTTCTCTTGCTGTTTTGTAATATTTTGTTCTTCTGTTGGGTTTCTGGGATCTTGATTATTATATGTCTAGGTGTAGATTTTTTTTTGATTGTGGCTAGTTGGGGTCCTATATGCCTCAGTTATCTGAATGTCAAATTCTTCCCCTCTGTTTGGGAAGTTTTCTGTCATTAGTTCTGCAAACAGCTTTTTTAAGTCATTTGTATTTTCTCCTGTTACTTCATGGATTCCTATCAGTCTTATGTTATTCTTCTTTGCATCATCTAGGAGTTGTTGGATCGATTTCTCATGATCCCCTACTGTTTTTAAGAGATCTCTCTTTTCATGGTCACTGACTGCAATCTTATCTTGTATATCTGAGAGTCTATCTTCGCAGTCTTTTATTCTGTTGCGTACACTTTTAATGGAGTGTTTAATCTCCTGGATATCTGTTTGAATCTGTTTTATGGATTCCATTTCTTTCCTATGTTGGGCATTTATTTTTTCCATTTCTTTTGTATGCTGGGCCTTCATGGCTTCTGTCATGGTCCTGAGCTCATCTATTTTTTTGTCAGTTTCTGCTCTGGAGTCTCGAATCACGACTTTCATTTTGCTCACCATCTCTATGGTTATCTGGGAAATTAGTTCTGTTTTGAATTTTTCTAGAGCCTGATTGATCTGTTTTGTTAGTTCCTGTGCTTTGAGTTCAGGGTGTTCTGCTGGTTCACTATCGGCCTTTTCATCCTCATTTGCCCTACCAGTGTTTGCCATTGGTGAACTGGAAGTCTGTCTTTGTGTCTTGCTCAAGTGTTTTCTCATTTTTATTTTTGTTGTTGGGCTGTCCTTAGCTTAATCTCTGGGTTAGCACCTGAATCTTCCTGATATAGATGCACCCTAGCTTCTGGGTCTCTAATGACCCACAGACATTGTCATCTTCATAACATCAGAGAAAACAGCTCATCAAATCAACCACAATCCTTTATCCCAATGGATACAATCAGCAACACATTATGATCAAGCACAACTTGGAAACTGGACTACCTGTGGTAGTCACTAGTCTATCACCCTTAAACCATTTGAATTAAATTGAAATCAAGAAGCAGTCCAGAACATGTCTGCAGTGAACAAACTTTTCAATATAGTATATATACCATTTAATGGCTCAGACAGAGCTAGGATGCAAGACCCCTGATCTCAGTTAGCTGATGGCTGAACCCCATGATGCAGACTGACCTTGGGCTGCAAGGCCCAGATTGAATTCCCCAACCTTCTGAACAGTTGAACTACACACTGTTCTACTACAGGTTTCCCATGCCCTTTCCTTAAAGATGTTCAAAGATGGGAACTCAGAAAAATATCCTTTATGACCACCTCTGCCTCTGCAGAGTGGGTCCAAAGACTGGCACAATCAGGAGGTCTGAGAGTGTGCATGGGGGGTGGGGGTAAGGGGAGTTATGGGGGTTCAGGGGCACCCGCATGGCTACTTTCCTGGCACTGGAGCGATGGTGGCTCCAGGTGGGAGAGGGTGTAAGGAACTTTTAAAAAGCTGGAAGAAATGGATAACGTTTTAGGAAATAATTGATCAAAACTTACTTAGAAAAGATCTAAATAAAGTGATTTCTTTATAAAGGAAAGTTGTTTTGACATGTCCAAAGCACCAATTCCAGAGGGTTCCAGAGGGTTCCAGAGGAGAATTTTATCAAATCTTTAACATGTATGTAGTCATATCCAAATATGTCTTAACTATTCTAGAGCACAGGAAAAGGAAACTTCTATATTCTGTTTATGAAGCAAATATAACCATGGTATGAAAACTGATGAAATTTTCACATAGAAAAATAAAATCACAGATTATTTTTGCTAATATTGATATAAAAATCCAAAATACTTGTAAGGAGGTGGAGGTAGATCAAGAGTAGAGTGCCTACTTAGCATGCATGACATCTTGGGTTCATCTCCAGCACTAAAATACAAATCCAAAATAAAATATTAGTAGACAGAATTTAGCAATACATTGAAATCAATATATTTTGGTGGAATATAAAAGTGAATGTAGTTGGTGGAAAAAGGAAGATGTAGAACAATAGGTAGAGAATGCTATTATACAAAGGATGGCATATAGATGGGGAAATTAAGAATATCCATTGTACTTGCTGAGATATTTCATAAACACTAGACAAATACCCAATGTAGTAAGCATTAACCCTGGGGAAAAGGATGGTAATGGGTTGGCCTGGGATACCAGTGGCTACAGAGCTTTTCTCCCTTTTTGATTTCTTTTAACTGTTTGATGTGTTACTTATTCAAAAATTAAATTCCCCTTTGAGGGGATGGAAGTTTTTATCATTTTCAATGCTAGATTCTTTTTATTTTTTTCTGTATATCTTTTGCTAGATTCTTTATTTATTCATTCTCTCAAGATTTATTAGCTAGGCACACACTATTGCTAGCTACTTGGGAGGATGAGGCAGGAGGATCAAAACCAGCCTGGGTAACTTAGTGAGACACTGTCTCAAAATAAAAATAAAACATAAAAAGGGTAGAGGATGTGGCTCAGTGGTAGAGCACTTGCATAACATGTAATATTTATATTCAATATCTAGTACTGGAAAAAAAATTACTGCCAGGGATTGAGCTAGATTTACTTGTGACCAATCCACTGAAGAGTACAAATTCCTTATCTTCCCAGGTCAGTGGTATCATTTTTCTCATTTCCCATCACAAGTAGGCATTAAAATCCAAATCTTTACCATCACAGAGGTTAGGCCCATTTTTAGGTACTAAGGATGATTCTGCAAACTGGGGATGGAACCCAGGGTTTCACATGTTAGACCCTCAGCCCTTCATGGAGAGCACCTTAACTCTTACTTTGTAATGCTTCATTCGGCCATAGGGACACACAGATTTGGCCAAAGGAATCCATGTTAAAAGAAGGATGGCAATATAATCTAAATTTTAAGTGTGTGTGGGGGGGTAGATATTCCAACTATTTGATTGTTTTACATAGTCAAATAGACTATACATTTTTTGTAAAAGTCATAAACTATAATATACAATTAGTTTCTTCTGTGGGACAAGCAACTCTAGAGTTGTCCCTGCACAGACTCTTTACCAGAACACATGTTCTAGCTGAGCTGGAACAGAAGAGTCCCATTACTGGGGAACTGAATTTTTTCTTTGCCATACATCTGTTCCCTGCTAATTACCATGTGCTTTATTTCTGGACAGAGACATCATTGTTCTGGTGGCCCAGGTGGTCCCAATTTATGCTGTGTCCCACCTCTTTGAAGGTCTTGCTGTGAGTATTTTGTTAAAGTCTTTTAAGCGCACACATGATCTGCGTTACGTATTTCTTACAATGAGGGTAAATTTCAACAGGGAGGGAATGTAGGAATATTATTGTCATGGTCATTTCTGCAGAACACTGTCACATGGTTATGAATTTTTAAGTACTGTGAAGTGGTAGGTCTGTGATTGGGTGGTGGGGTCTTTCAGAACCCCAGCAGTGCTCTCACTGATGGAATGTTACCTGTCTACAGTGTACAAGTGGTGGCATCCTGAGGGGAACTGGAAACCAGAAGGTTGGAGCCATTGTTAATGCCATTGGCTATTATGTGATTGGTCTTCCCATTGGGATTGCACTGATGTTTGCCACTGAGCTTGGAGTTATCGGTAAGCTTTAACCATGTTCATGCAGAATTTAGTTACTCACAGGCCCAGAAAATGACTATCAGAGCACACTGAAACTTGGCTGTGGAATTCTGGAATTTTCCTGAATCATTCCAGGCAGGGAGGGAACTAGGAGGGACAACAGGTGACCTGCTCCATCCAGGGTCCCAGATCAGGTCATGCACCACCTTCCCTACCCATGTTGGTGATCTTCCTCCCTGTCACACTTAAGCACAACAAAATATTATTTCTAGCCCTTCCCCTGTTGCGTCATCCAGGTCTTTCTTCAAAGGACATTATAACAAGCACCCCTGAAAAAGCATTTGGAAATGTCCCTTTTGTAGACCTCATTCTGTTCTTTTAGTGACAGCCCCTTGTATGGTGAGACCCTGAGAGTGAGACTCTAGGACTGATGCCATCCTGGAGTGTTTGGAGTGAGACAAAGTAGCAGCAGGTCAGCAGCTGTGCTGGTCTGGACACAGAACATCCTAAAACACGGCCCCCTTTTGTTCTCAATGGGTGTGGCTGAGTTCAACAAGGGCCTGGGGCAAGCACTCTGCTTGTCACTGTCACCCCCTTTGCATATTCACCTCCCACCTGCTACATTCTTATCTGTATATCTTGTGGAATCCCACAAGGGCACAAGTGGGACGAGTGTGGAAGATGTAGAAGGGAGGTGGGTTAGGGTGCCCCTCTATCACCTTGCAGCATTTGGAAGAAAGAACTTAATCCACAGGATCTGAAATTACCAGTGCTCATCTTTTTAAAAAGTAGGAAAATAAGTGGTTGCCCAGTTGGATTTCTAGAATAATAATTAGGACTATACTGGCAGTGAATGGATGATTGTATTAAAACCTGAGTGTTATCTTTGGAGTGAAGTAGTGACTGACTCATCAGTACTTGATGAGCTCAGAGATGGCAAGAAGTCATATGATACCTACAGAAAACTTCCAGTCTGATATGTTTCATTGTTTTGTACCCTTTTCTCAAGTTCAATAATATTTTAATTAAAAATATGAGAGATCCTCTGAGAGTGGAATTGCCAGATTTCCCTGAGCTTCCACCATGGTGCAGAAAATTATTTAGCTGAGTTTTTGGCATTACTCATGTTTTGGATTTGCTGGCGACATAGTTACTGGAAATATCAGAGCAACGTGTTCTTTCTGGAGTAATGTATTTTATTTAACATAATGTATCCAAAATATTATTGTTGTAACATGCAATCAGTATAAAATACTAAAGAGATACTTCATATTATATTTTATATCTTTTTGTTATTATTTTTACTGGGGATTGAACCTCAGGGCCTCGTACTGAGCTATATCCCCAGCCTTTTTTATTTTTTGAGAAAGAGCATGACCACCTTGGCTATTACATCCTTTCTTTAAATATTATTTTTATTGCTAAATCATAATGATGTACATTTATGTGGGGGTATAGGTGATAAGAATGATCAGATCAAAGTAATTATCATACCTATCACCTTGCTTATTCATCATTTTTCATAGTGAGACATTTGAAATTTACTTTCTAGTTAATTTGAAATATGTAGTATATTATGGACTACAAACACCCTGCTGTGCAATCAGTCTCATGCTGTCCCTTCTGACTCTAAAGCCTGTTTCTCTTTCTTTCTTCTTTCTTTTCATTCTCTCTCTCTCTCTCTCTCTCTCTCTTTCTCTGTTGGACATCAAACTGAGGGTCTCTTACCACAGGACAGACAAGTGCTCTGCCACTGAGCCATAGCCCCAGAGCCCCGAATTTTGTACCCTTTGATCATCAACTTCTCCCGCTTCCCACCCCCACAGACCACCTCAGCCTCCGGTAATCATTCCACTCTCTACTACTGAGTTCCACTTTTAGAAGAGGAATCTACTTTAGAATATAGATCCACCTATATCTCTAGGACTGTAATTTAGTCTCAGTAATTTAGCAAAAGCATTCCTACTATGTGCAAAGTAGAGACGAGAGTCACTGAAAGAAATTGCTGGGGATCCTGGGGAGCTGAAAGTTCATAAGAAGACTACAGACCTTCCCTGCATTCACTGCTTAGCAAGAAGAGTAGTACGAATTAGTTTGGAATATTGTGTGGCCTATCATGGTACCCAGATCTGCTGGTTCTCACAAGCAACTCCAACAAATGACAGCCTTGGAATTTCCCATAAGGCCTTTCAATTGGGCAAATTCCTAGGCCCAGAGCAGGGACTTCTAATAATTAACCTATTTTGGTTTTTTAGGTTGAGTCAAACAGAATTTTTAAGATGATATATTGTGAAATAAAATTGATAACTTTCAAATTATAGCTGGAGATAGCTGGTTGTTTTCTGTTGAGGATAGTCAGGGTCAGCTTGTAATTCATGTATACCTGAAACTCTGGGTTTGACAGAAGAAGACAGAGTCTTGCATTTACTACATCATTACAGGAAGAGCAAGCGTTCACTACCTTCACTTCCTGAAAAGGCTGGTTGATCACATCTGAAGAATACGGTGAGGGTGATTGGTACCAAGGAACAGAGCTGTAACCTTGCACAGACTCTGCCTACCAAACATGTAAACTGCAAACCCATCCTACCCTCCTTAGTACTTAGGTGGATCCAGACAGTGGTGGAAATCAGCTAAGACCAAGCAAGGGTATAAAGCAAAGGCTGTGTATTCTGAGTCTGCTAGCAAGGGAGTAAGCCACCAAGAACCTCACCCTGCAAAAAGGGATGGCTCAGGGGTGTCCGATTGGAGGCTGTTGCCCTGGGGGAAACTGGAGGCTGCTGACTAGGTCCTCCACATGATTGCTTGAGGGGGCATATTTACTGAAATTTCTCTAATTGATCCTAAGGTGGAAGTGGGCACTAAAATTAAGGTAGCTGTAAATTATTATCCAATTCCAGGTCATTTGGGGCCCACCATTACAGAAGTTACTGTTTAGCTTCATGGGTTACCACTGGGGAACCCAGGCAATCTGGCTGCAAATCTGAGTTCTCAAAGGCTGGCTTTTGGATTTTTTATCTCAGATAAGGGGGTGGTTTCCTGTGGTTGTGGTTGTAGAAGTCTGGTTTTTGGTTTTGCTTTTTAATTAATTAATTATTATTATTATTTTTTGGTACCGGGGATTGAACTCAAGTCCTTGCGCTTGTGAGGTACCAGAACCACTGAGCTAAATCCCCGGCCCTAGAAGTCTGTGTTTATATCTGACCTGGCCATTACCTGTTTGTACAGTCAGCCTCTGATAGCTATCTTAGGGCTTTTGATTCTGCTCTTAGTTCTTTGTTGACAGAAAGCCTCTCATCACTTGGGTGCTCCTCAGTGCCCTGGGCAGGTTTATTAGGTGGAATCTGTGTGGTAAGTCCTTCCACAGCTGTAAGGCTTTTTCTGTCATCTGTTCCTACTCAGCCTCTTCTTTGCTCTCTGTTCATTTTTCAGGCCACCACTCTCCCCTGGAGTCTCTAGCAAATTCTATGCTAGGAATAAGTTAAGATCTTAAGGGCAGGCACAAAGCTCTGGGGGAAGGAACATGATTACTTCTAATGGCTGGTGACGTCTGCTTTAAAATTTTAAAAAATTTTCCCTGTTAAAATGATTACTATGGGTGTGAAATGAGAATAGGGCTCTTACAAACATCATTTTAGAATATGAACATTAGGTTCTAAAATGGTTTTCAACTAGGGATGTAGCAAGTTGTAGAGAGCGTGCTCAGGGTCCTGGGTCCTGGGTTCCAGCACCAACCTCCCCCAATGTGCGCGTGCACGCACACACACACACACACACACACACACACACAATTTATCTCCTTTTCAAGAGCCTAAATATAAACTTATATAAATCTTAGGGATTTTATTTTTCCTTAGGGATTTTTTAAAAGAGATAAACATGCAAAATAACTAATTTTCAAATCAAAGACTTCTAGTGAAAACATACAAGTTAAAAATGAACTATTTTAATTCCCTTATTTGGCATGATTTCTGCTTTTTGAAAAAGTTGTAAAAAAAATGAAAAAGTTTGTTTCCTCTTTTGAGGAACACAGAACAGCAGCAGAAACTGGGCATGGTAGGGCACATCTGTAATCCCAGCACCCAGGAGGCAGAAGCAGGAGATCACTGCAAATTCAAGGCCAGCCTGGGTTACACAGTGAGTTTAAGGCCAGCCTGAATTACAAAGTAAAACCCTCAAAGCAAAAACAAAAGAACAGCATTAGTTTGTCCTGGGAAATTTAATTTCCTTATGACTGTCACTTTTCTTAACATGCAAACATTGTAATACCAAAGGCCAAAAATAACCTCTGAACCTTTGCACTGACATCCTGAGGGAGTGCTGAGTCTCTTGGAACTTTCTGCAAAACCCAATTTCTGGTCCACTGTGCTGCATCTCAACCACGGAAGCAGATTCTCAGCATGGCTCACAGAAGTGATAGGAGACACATCCTCTGTAGCAGTGGCTGTTTTTCATGGAGCTGACCTGTTAAATATTTCCATTTCCAGGTCTGTGGTCAGGGATCACCATCTGCACTGTCTCTCAAGTTGTGTGTTTTCTGGTCTTCGTTGCTCAGCTCAATTGGAAACAAGCCTGTCAGCAGGTGACTATGCTCAGTGCTACCCTGAAGAAGTTCCTTTCCGTCAAACAAATAGGATCCAGTTTGGCTCTCTTTCATCTTGGAAGAGTCTATTCCCTTTTATGCTGTTTTTATGCTTGTTTTGTTTGAACTGGACTTTCAGATGTAGAGGCCTGCACAATCTGACCTTTATCTATGCCCTAAGTTGATTCCGTGAATAGAAAAATGCAGGTTTTCCTGCACTTCATGCTGGGCCCCTGCATTTGTCCCCCAAAAGTCTAGAAAATGTGGGGTATATCAAATCCACTCTAATACTGTTATATATGCTCCCAAAATATTTTGTTAAGATACTGTGCTTTTCCTTCTCTTTGCCCTTCCAGTGACAAGGCGAGATCTGGAATAGGTAGAAAAAGGAGATGAAGGAAGAAGATGAAGAAGGAAAAATTCTAACTGACCTTGGTTGAGCCACTCCTTCACATTGTACTTTTTCCATCCAGCCTCCCTACCCATTGACACCATTTCTTTTCTTTTTTTTTTTTTTTTTTTTTTTTTTTT